ATACAATAATGAATAAGATCACCTAACAGTGAATTAACACAATGATTGTGTATGAGAGCCTGCTTCTGTGTGTGTGTGTGTGTGTGTGTGTGTGTGTGTATATATATATATATATATATATATATTGCATGATAAGTTTTGAATCTTCATAAAATGGCAAAGAGTAAGGTGATAATATAGTGAGCCTATAATGCATTAGGCATGACAAAGACATGCAGACCAGTGAAAATATCCTGCATTCAGTTTAACATCACCTGTCACACAAGCTTTACCTGTATGTTCCAGCAGGACAAGGTATGGGTGTCCAGGTCGCCTCGGGACAGAAGTACCCTGGCGGACACGGGCTGACAGTGTGATCAGGCATCCCATAGGAGTGACACCAGTACCCTGCAGGACAGGGGAGACACCAGCTCTCGTCCGTAGCCTCCTCAAGTGGCTGGTAAGTGTTGGGAGGACAGGGGAGGATCGTGGCATTGAACTTGCAGTAGAAACCTCTGGTGCAGGGCTGGGAGAGGGTGGAGTTAGATGGACAGATTCTTCCGGCCGGGCAGACGTCACACTCAAGGGCCGACATGGCACCCACCTTGTTGATCACAGTGCCTGGTGGACATGTGGATGGTTCAACACAACCTGGAGGCATACGATAAATTTTTTTTTTCGTTGCAATATTTCTATACTTGAATATATCATAAATTAAATATTTGTATGAATTATTTTATTAATTATAAACAACATCATATCTCTGATTCAAAATATGAATCTGAAACTACTTTTTGCATACATGCTAGATGAATTCTTTCAATACTTAATTTTTTTAATCATTCAAATAATTTTGGCCTTAATTAATCTAACCATTTATTGTTTGAGACAAACATGTAAAATACATTTTTGAACACTTGAAGACCATCAGTTTGTATAAAATTGAAATTCTCAAAGTCTATAAAATTTAACAAACTGAAATCAATCCTATCCTCTCACCTGCCAGACAGTAATAACCATATGGGCACAGCTCCCCAGTGGGGCAGTTATCAACTCCTGTGGCATTATCACATGTCGGGGTCGGTGTACTGCTTCCATTATAACAGATATACCCAGCGTTACACAGTCCAGCTATCTGTCCAGCCAGGCAGTATGACCCCTCTGGACACGGCAGACACTGGGAGGCATCGGTGAGGTATTGTGTGGAATTGGTAGTGTATGTGCCGTTTGGACATAGGGTCGGTACCACTGACCCCTCTGGACAGTAGCTGTATTGTGGACAAGGTATCATGTCACTGGCATTGACTGGACAGTAGTGGCCAGCCTGGCATGGGAGACAGAAGGTCTGGCCCTCTTGTGGCTGGTAAGTGGCTAGAGAATAAAGGTATTATTATCATAATTTGGATTCTTAGAGATAAAACTGGTTAAATAAAGTGTAATTTCTTGTGGTATATCTCTCTCTGTGCAATGTTAACTGTGCTGTAAGTTTGTTGTGCACATCATTAATTATCTTTAACTTAATCTAATCAGTCCCTTGATTGACTGCAAGTGACCCACAGCACAGCACAAACTTATTTCCTAATCAATATAAAATTTATCGAAGCTCAAAGACACAATATACAAATTAGCACTTGGCATGTCAAACAGAAGAACTGAATAAAAACATACAATAATTGTTTATTTGAAATACCAGACATTCAATTGACCATGCTAATGTTCTAGTACAAACCCACCATTAACACAAGGTGTTGGGATGGAACTGTTTGCAGGACAAATGAACCCGGCAGGACAGCTGTAGTTGGCTGGGGTCCTGGATTCTATGGCAACATCCCCAGGGCAGTAGTACCCCTCGGAACATCCTCCTGTGAATTGGGTTCCATTCAGGTCTTCACAGTACATTCCTCCTACACAAGGCATGCAGTCATCCAGACAACGACCACCAGTGTTGGGGTTGACTGTTCCACGGGGACACGGGATAGGCTGTGTTGTTCCTGGATGAAAAAATATTCAAATTGTGTTAGTTGTGATAGTGCACAATAATAATATAAAATTTGCTGATTTGCATGTTAAATATGTGTTAAAGTGTGGATGTTGTAGGATCTTGAAATGTAAGATGTGATAAGTGATATCATGTTGGTGTTATGTTCTCTTTAAAGTTGTTTTTGCATGTACAAACTAAGAGACAAACAAAATAATGTTATACAGAATTGCTTTGAGTTCCTTATGAATGCTTGTTGACTGTCACTTTAGTTTTAATCCAAGACTACAAACTGCCATAACACGCCTACCTTCAGGACAGTAACTTCCTAGAGGGCAAGGTTCATTAACACCATCATTGGGAGCCTGGTGCATGGCGCCACCTATACAATAGTAGCCACTGTTGCATGGCCCTGCTGGTGCTAGTAGACCAGTCTGGTTACAGAAGTACCCTGTGGGACACGGGGTGCAGTCCCCTTCTACTGAGAGACTGGTAACATTGCTGTAGGTGCCTGAAAATATAGAACATGGTAGGCATGATAAAGTGCTATAGGCATTATTATACACCTGGGTCACACAACTATAGGATGTTAAATGTGAAAATAATTTCATTGGACTTCAGTTTTTAGTATTAATAGTCTTCATTATGATACATCCAAACATTTTGGTTCACCTCAGGGGAGGGGGGCGAGAGGGACTAACAAGTCATCAAGACTGTGGGGAAATAACCTGTTCACCTGTCAGAGTGAAAAGCAAAAACCATCAACACGTGCACCAAAATGTTTGGATCTATCATAAATGAAAACTGTAGTGAACAAATAATGACAATAAACAGTTGCTCAGAATACAAAATGTAGCCTACCTAGAGGACATGGTATACCATTATCTGAGGTACCATTGGGACAGTAGTAGCCTTCAGGACAAGGTAGGGAGTAGTTCATTGCAATGTATGGGCAAGTTTGGCCTGCTGGACATGAAAGGCATTCACCTAGAAACATAACAAGAAAACAAGTGCTTTTTTCTACTTCAATATTAAAATTTCATTGGGTTAAGCAAAGCACTACTGCCATAGTTTTATTATGCATAATTGCAAGTCACACTTCACACAACTGCAAGTCTCACCAATTATTTCCCAACTGCAGTAATGATTAAATCTTTTTTCAATGGGCAAAATTGTGAATTTTACAGAATCAATATAGTATTTTTTAAAAGTCATAAATTCTTAAGATTAGTATATTCCTATTAAGAGGTAGCAACAAATAGCTCAATTCCAAACAATAAAAACACCACAAATGCTACACAGAAACATATTTTTAATGATGCCAAAATGCATACCTAAAAGATTAATAATTTTATTCTGATTGAAAAGATAGCATCATTACTGTAACCAAGCACAATGGCCATAGTCCCAACAAAAACAATAATGAAAACATTACCAGTCTCATCACAGGCACTGCATTCTCACCTAGTTCAACAACAGGAGCATAAGTTCCCATGGAGCAGTTCTGGGGGGTGATGGTCCCAGCTGGGCAATAGTTGCCCTGTGGACAGATGTAGCCCATCACACCATCATTGGGCTGACCGTTGTCTGCACCGCCAAGACATACATAGCCTGGGTCACACGGTGGGGTTAGGCCTATGCAAGAATGTCATAATAATAGTTTTGATAAACTCTATTTGCAATCAATTTATAATATTGATTAGGAATTATACTTTGATGCTCTTATTAAAGGACTCATGCAAATTTAACAAATTTTGAACTGAAAAGTTTGTAATCTTGTTGTTACAATCTCCTGTAATCATATACACTCAAAATTTTATTATGATATAATTCTATTTAACAGAACTATACATTCATAATAATATTAATTTTTTGTAATAAAAAGTTGGATTGGATGTGCACTATAAAAGAGTGATAAAAGAAACCAAAACACATTATAAATTTACTAACTAAAAGTACAAAAGATAAAAAGGTGCGCTGACACAAATTCTCAGTGAAAGCCTCCTTACCATTCTGTGAGCTTTCTGGAGTACAATACCTCCCAGCTGGACAGGGGTCACAATCGCTGACGTTGACATTTCCTGCACTGCTGGCCAGTGTACCAGATGGACAGGGCTCTGGCCAGACACTGCCCTCTGGACAGTAGTTACCAATGGGACAGATACCTTCACTGGGGTTTGGATTGATGGTGCTGCCATTACAGTAGTACCTGGACAAGACATAATCAGGAAGTGAAGTGTGAGTGTGTTTCATTACGCTTAGAAAAAAATAATTGATCTGACTAGTCCAACATGGGATTTAGAATTCTTAGGTATAATGTATGTCTCTACATAATGTAGTCTTGTCAATTTTCTGTCTAAGTTAGTCCAGGTTGAACACCACTGTAGAAAAAATCATACCATCATCAGCCTCAGAATGCAGCTTCACCAAAACTTCTTCATATCTGCAGTACTGAATTATACGCCAACAGTTCAAAATATCATTTTATCAATAGATGGCACCACTTACCCAGCCATACAGGGCCCCTCTGGTTCTGCCAATCCTCCTCTCTGGCAGTAAAACCCAGGAGCACAAGGCTGGCACTGGGCACTGGTCATCAGTCCAGTGATATTATTGAAAGTTCCTGGTGGACATGGGTGTTCTTGACCATATCTGGTACCGTTTGGACAGTAGTAGCCAGCTGGGCAGGCAGCGGGGGTGATGGTGGCATTGTCACAGTAAAATCCTTAAATTATACAGATCCAATATTGGTATGTTCAACTTGAAAATTTCAAAGGCATGGTGAGCAAATTTTTTCTGTAAAAATATAGCACGTTTTGTGACTGATAACCATATAATTACATAGTCATACAATATTCACAACATTTAAACTCCATTCTTCTATGATAAAAACCATTAACTTGAGATGTCTCACTCTCTTTAATACCAAACCAGTAGACTGCAAATTTAAACAAGTCATCTTAATGAAGCACTTCTCTTTCCTTCTTAAAAAAAAACAAAAAAACTACAAGCATTTTCAATACTGGTCACCCTACCTTCTGGGCAAGGGTCACACAGAGCTTGACCCTCAGCATCCTGTTGGTACCCCATCTCACAGGGAACTGGGACTGGACTGCCCACTGGACAGTAGTGACCACGAGGACACACAGTGGCATAGGGGTTGGGGACAGTCTGAGCTTCTGGACAGTAGTAGCCTGGAATGGTATTAGGTCAGATAGGTTATTTCTGAATCACTTCTGTGCATGCTACATATTCATCCACAAAAATATACACACACACATGCAGGCAAACAAATACTTGAATACAAACATCCATTCACACATGAAGTCACACAGGCATCAGATTTTGGCAAACACTGTACTGAGAAATCCTATTCAGACTGTCTAGATTCATCTTGACTTAAGAAAATTGCCACAACAAGATCAGATTTCATTTAGATTGTTTCATACTTATAACACAAAATGGTCTAATACATATTGAAACCTGGACCATTATTGAAGATTATCTAAGAAAACCAACCTTAGTTAAAAATTATGCACAATTCATTCTATGCTAGTCCCTTACCTGCCGCACACACTCCACTGTATCCTGTAGCTCCCGTCTCATTACAGTAAAACCCAGGATCACACGGTGTACACTCAGCCTGCGCTGCTAGTCCTGTGCCTGCATTATACGTGCCATTTCTACAAGGATCTGGGAGGTCACTTCCTGTAGGGCAGTAATGACCCACAGGGCACAGAACCTCTCTTGGTGATGAGGACCCTGTTGGACAGTAGTAGCCAGGGTCACAGTCGGCCACTGGTGCTCCCAGTCCAGAGGAGTTACAGTACTGACCAGCAGTACAGGGCTGGGGTGCTATGGATCCTAATGGACAGAAGGTGCCTGCTGGGCAGATGTCTCCACCATCTCCAGATGGCTAAAATGATAGAGAGGGTATTTTTAATAAATGAAAAAAAAAAAAACATCACGACAATGAAATGAATTTTTTCTTCTTATTTGTAAATTGGTGGAGCAGCTCTAGAGCAGTATTGCGAAAAATGCTATAAATTTTTTACCAACCAATATGGGCAAATCACCTTTTGACATTATATCTTCCTACCAGTATACAGTATTCACTGGTAAATTTAATAAATGTCCAAACTGAGGACCTGAGCAAAAACTTAGGTCCAAAGTCACTATATCAAAACACATTGTAAATAAACAGCCTGCTTACCCTGGGGTCAGAGGATCCATTAGAGCAGTACCAGCCTGCAGCACACAGTCCATCTGGATATTCATTGGCCTGACCATCACAGTACATGCCTGCTGGACATGACAAGCAGTCAGTCAGGTTACCCATACCAGTCTGGTTATTGTATGTCCCGTTTGGACACGGCGCATGCAGCGGATCTGGTGTGCCTGCTTCGCAGTAGTAACCAGCGGGGCAAATGTTGGGAGCATAGTCCGTCGTGTTTCCGTAGCAATAATATCCTGCAACGCACGTGATACAGGAGCCCTGTGCGGTGGAGTCTTGATACATGCCAGCTGGACAGGGCACTGGGTAGCTAGACCCTGCTGGGCATTTGAACCCTGCTGGACACTCATGGCCAATGACTGGATGGACAGTTCCTGTGGGACACTGGGATTCATTAAGCATGAGTGGGTTGGCTCTGTCTGCTCCTGACACACAGTAATAGCCCTCAGCACAGCTTCCAGCTGGAGCAGTCAGGTTGATACCTGGAAAAAGATTTGTGTTATAGAACAAACTGCAAATGGTTTTGGTGGTTAAATTGTGACTGGGAACTAAAAATGGTTATTATGCAAATATGAAATGTAATTACTGCATATAAATCAGTTCCAGATCACGTAAAGTTAATCAAGTGACAATATGTAAATTCAAACCAGGTTTTGTAATTTTTTCAAAGTATCAGTAAATAATCACCCTTTGCCTTCACTGTTGGCATTCATCTAAATAAGTACTAATAAAGACTGCAACTTTTCATATTTTGATATTAGAAGAAGTGAGATGCAGAGACAGAGAACAGCCAGTACCTTGGCAGTGCATCCCTGGCATACAAGGTGTACATTCCTGGGCAGTTCTCAGATTGGTGACATTGCTGAAGGTCCCAGCAGGGCAGGCCTGCCAGTTGTGGCCAGTTCCATTGGGGCAGTAGAAACCTTCAGGACAGGTGGTCATTATGGAATTCACCGAGCCTGGGATGACCACCTCTGGGATACAGTAGTAACCTGGAGATATATTGTGAAAAAGTTAATCCTTATCTGCCAGACATATGTGAAACATAAAATTAAATGGTTATTTTGTTAGAAAACAAAACTGTTAAAATTTTAAATGTTTTCATCTTAAAATTTTTTTAAATCCACTGTGATATATTCCTTCCTTTCATAAAACTGTACACATTAAAAACACAAACTAAAATAAATTGTGAAAAAATCTGAAAATAATAATGAAAAAAAAAAAGATTATTGAAAAAGTTCATTATCTCTCCCAACCCATCACATATTGAAGGATTACAATAAGCCTAAATAAAACACATTTGAAAAAAGAAAATGATGCATAACTATTGGAGCCCCTTGGGTTCACTTGCCAACTTACCTTCAGGACACTCTTGGCAAACAGCAGCTCCCTCTATATCTGTGTATGTTCCAGCTACACAGTCCAGTGGTCTTGCACTGCCCTGTGGACAGTGTTGACCAATGGGACACACCACAGCTGTCTCTACACTGGAACCAGTGGGGCAGTAGTAGCCTAAAAAAGGTCACATTAAAATAATTTAAAAAATCAACTATTTTTGTAATAATAAGAATCTCACAATATCCAAAAGTAGGTGAATGTATCTTATATATAGAAACATACATGTGCAGGTGGTACAAAAAAATATTATTAAAAGCAGTTTTGAACAACCATGATAAACAAAATTATTGTTTTCTCAATCCATCAAATACCAGAGCCAATCATTCTTTAATTGACATTCATTAATAACATTCATCTGAAATACCTTTACTGACAGCAATATATTATCAAGCAACACAGGCAAATAAACAGTACTACAAACCTGCACTGCAAGGTCCTGATGGCTCTATCAATGCCACGCCATTACAGTAATATCCCTCTGTACAGTCCGTACACTGGGTGACAACACTCAGGCCAGTGGCATTAGAGAATGTTCCATTGGGGCAGGCCATGGGGTCAAGGGTACCTTGACCACAATAGTAGCCTGCAGTACAGATGATACTGTCTGCCCTTCTTGAGCCCTCTGGACAGTAGTAGCCAGGGTCACATGGACCGGTCACTGCTGTCAGACCTGGAGATGGACACCACAATTGATATACCATTCATTATAAATAGAATAATGTAATAATAACATTAACATAATAAGGATATGGTGTATTGGGGGGAGCATTTAAAAGGTGAAATGTCATATTGCTTTGTCATTTTCATATATCTAGTAGGCACTTCATCTTGAGTATGTGGAGTGTGGTATAGTGTTGGATTTGACAAAGTGATAGGTGTGACAATGTGTTAGATGCAGCAATATGTTAACTTATCTCTGACACTTGGTTTGATGTGTCAATTTTTAAAATTTAAAGTAAATTCTTTCTATCAATAACAAATATCCTAATGTCTTCATGTCGGAGACATTTAATATTTCATAGACGATGTCAATAATTTCAAGTCATAACTTTTATTGTATTCTCTATAATACGTTGTGTCAATTTTGAAGAGGCTGAGTAGGGCTTGTTTACCTGTCGCATTAAGAAGCCAGTGATAAGGAAGTGTATGAAGCCATTGGCTGGAGTACGTACTAAAGGTTGTAATATTGAATAGAGAGTCAGAATGTACCTGAGCAGGCAACGAGTTCACATTAAACGATTGAAACTGGTCATTCTTGTCAGTGTGGATTTCCTCTGTAGCGTTTAGACGTAAAGATTTCGACCGCGAATCTGGAAGGCTATATACTAAAGCGTTATCCTAACTCAAGTATCCAACGGTGTCCGCATTTCGAGCTCAAGTCTAAATCACGTTTATATCTAAAATTGCGTGGTTCCGGACACGTTTTGGCGTCGCTCGCCAGTTAAAATTTTTACGTTTTGCAAGAGGAATATCTGAGCTTACACAATGGCCGAGGGGATGCAGCAACTCGTGGAGACGCTGCAAATAATTGCACAGGACATTCAAGGAGGGCATGTGCGTTCTATCAAAGAGAGGAGAATAGAAGAGGCGGCTAAAAGTATAACAGTCTGCGACGGAGCAGTGGTGTCGGAGGTAAGGTCGTACTTAGACGACCTAGAGGTAATGTATGCTTCTTTACATGATATTGTCGGGGGAGCAGTTAAATTGGTAACGAAAACGTCAAGGGGGGCCCTTAGGAGGGAGATAGAAAGGTTTTTACAAACGCAGCCGGCAAGGCTAGAAACCCCGTGGAGAGTAATTAAAGAACACATACAACGATCTTTCTTATCGGCGAATGAATCCGAGCGCCTTAAATCGGAATTGGAGGTTTTACGACAAGCATCGTTCGAGACGTTGCTGGAATTTAATAGAAGGTTTAGGGAGGCGGCAAGCCGCGCGTACGCCGCTCCACGTGGCGCGGATACGGAGAGATTTATCGTGAGAGCATATACGCGCGGGTTGTTGGATCAGAGATTGGCTGAGGAATTAATAGTCAGGGGTCGACCTGAAACTCTGGAGGCAGCCATTCAGTGGACTGAAAACGAAAATTGCGGGAGAGAAATTTTTCGACAAATGACCACGCAAGGTCATCACGCGCCGCAGACTAACGTCATCGCACAAAACAAATTTGCCGCGACGGTTGTTTCACCAAGGGTAGAGGAAGATATGGATATATCTTCTATGAACGCGATTAATAAAGATACGGCATTACTTTTATCCCAATTACAAGAGACCTCCAAAAGCATACAACAAGCACTTAAAGCGCAGGAGCGCATGCAAACGCGTATCGCAAAAGTGGAAACGCACGTGTACAACTCTCCAGACCACACTCCTACGGCGCGAAATCGTATACAGAAGCCACACCAACAATCGCGTAAACAGAGAGGTTACGGTTCACCGCGGGCTTACCGAGATATTGCAGGTTGGCGCGAAGACGGTACGTTATTATGTTTTCACTGCAACAAACCGGGGCATAAAAAAGCGGAATGTTATCAATTAAAACGTCAAAGGAATCATTTAAACTAGTTACCGCAGGCGCTATGACCAGACCACAGAGTTATAGATTAGGCGTAGCACTATCCGTTAACGGAGTGCAGTGTAAAAGCTTGATTGACAGTGGTGCCAGTTGTAGTTGCCTGCGTTTAGACATGTTTTTGAAAATCTGCAAAGCAACGGGTAGAACGTGTTTTTTAGAGAAGACCAATGAAATTTACAGTGTGTCGGGAGAGAAACTCGAGGTCAAAGGCAAGGCAAGAATAAAAATTGACGGGGCCGGTATTTTTGAGGTCGTGGTGATCGCGAACATCGGGCATGAAATGATACTGGGGATCGATATTTTAAAGAGCGGGAATGCGGAAATAAATTGCGTACAAAAGACAATGGTCTTCTTCGACAAAGAATGGCCCTTGACCGACTATGGACGGCCAGGTCTGATCGCGGAAATAGTTCAGTTGCCACCGTCATCGGGAAATGACGATATTGACGCGATGATCAACGAATACCGCGACGTATTTAGTTCGACCGAGAATCCCCTAGGCAAATGCGACCTGTTGCCAATGATTATCGACACCGGAGACAATAGACCCGTTCAACAACGAGCTTATCGCGCACCGCTGGCAAAAAGAGAACTCATAGAAAAGGAAATACAAAATTTGCTCGATAATGACGTGATTAGGCCGAGTCAGAGTCAGTGGAGTTCCCCGGTACTTCTTACGCCGAAATCAGACGGTTCCATGAGATTTTGCGTCGATTATCGCAAAGTAAACGAGATAACAAAGGTCGATAGGTATCCGTTGCCACTTATCAGCGACATTTTTGACAACATGGGAGGAGCGGCGTATTTTAGCGTCCTGGACCTGAAACAGGGGTTTCACCAGTGCACGTTAGACGAGGCAGATATGCACAAAACCGCTTTCATTTGTCACAAAGGCTTATTTGAATACAAACGCGTCCCGTTTGGTTTGGTTAACGGACCTAATCACTACCAGAAGCTGTTAGATCGCGTTTTAAACGGCCTTATTGGGAAGTCGGTGTACTGTTACATTGACGACTGCGTGATTTTCTCGAAAACAATGGAGGAACATGTCGAACATGTGCGTCAGGTGTTAGAAAGATTCCGCGAAGCTAACCTCAAAATCCATCCAAAGAAATGCGAATTTGCCAAAAGTGAAGTACATCTCCTCGGTTACATCATAAGCAAAGACGGGATTCGCAGCAATCCCGACAAATTACAACCAATTAAAAACATGCCGACGCCGCGAAAAGCGAAAGATGTTAGGTCCTTTTTAGGCACATGTAACTATTATGCGCGTACGGTCCCTGATTTTGCAAGAGTAGCAGCCCCATTGTACAAACTAACGAAGAAAAACGAGCGATTTGAGTGGAGGGAAGAGCATCAGAGAAGTTTCGACAGATTAAAAGAACTGCTTATGTCCAACAAAGTGATGGCGCACCCGCGAATAAACGAGCCGTACAAACTCTACACGGACGCTTGTAATCACGCGATAGGCGGTGTTTTGGTGCAGACAGACGAACAAGGGAAAGATAGAGTGGTTCAGTATGTCAGCCACAAATTGTCACCCAGTCAACAACGGTACTCGACCATCGAAAAAGAAGCGTACGCGGTCATGTACAATGTCAACAAATTGCGACCGTATTTGTGGGGGGCAGATTTGACCATTTACACCGACCATAAACCCCTGAAAGCGCTATTTTCTTCTAAACTGCAAAATGCAAGGTTGCAAAGATGGGCGGCAATTTTAGCTGAATATAATCCTAAAATTGAATACATAAAAGGCGCGAAAAACGTGTGCGCGGATTTTCTGAGTAGACTCCCATCAGAGCGCGAGGAAGTAGCCATTATCGACACGGAAGAGGATTGGGTGGATCCGAGGTCATTTCCTGATAGCATGGCTTTACATAACATCCCGATAGAAGCCGATGGATTAAATGTTGATGACATACGACAACATCAAATCGCGGAATTTCCGGCGGAGATAGCCGAAGCTCAAAACGAAGACTCGGATTACGAAATTCTTCAAGGGATTCTTTACTCGGTCAGACCACCTAATCCGACAGAACCCGATTATCCGCGTCTAGTGCTACCCAAACAGTTCAGAAAAAATATCATTGCCCGCTGCCATAAAGATGTTGGACACATGTCCGTGTATAAGACACTTTGTCGAGTCAGGGAGTGTTATGTTTGGAAAGGGATGAGGAAACACATCTCTAAATGGGTAAAAAGATGTCCAACTTGTCTGGCCCATAAAAGTACTCCCCAAAGAACCACCTTAGGCGAATTGCCAATGCCCGCTTACCCCTTTCAAGTTGTGGGTATGGATCTGATCGGCCCGTTTCAAGAATCACCAAAGGGAAACAGGTACTGTTTGAATGTTATTTGTTATTTAACGGGTTGGGCCGAAAGTTATCCCATTCCGGACAAGTCTTCGAAGGCAGTTGAATTGGCTTTAGCTACAGAATTTTTTCCCAGACATAGCATACCAGAAATTATCATCACAGATAGAGGTAGCGAATTTAGTGCGGGGGAATTTCGCAATTATCTTCAAACAATGGGTGTGGATCATAGGCGGACCACAGCTTATAACCCCAAATGTAATGGCAAAGTTGAAAAGTTTAATCAATGTTTCAAAGGATTATTGGCCCGCCTTGTTAACAACAATACTCGCACATGGGAAGAACAGATAGCTAATGCTTTGTTTGCTTACAGGAATAGTGTTTCCTCAGTGACCGGGTACACACCATTTTTCCTAGTTTATGGCAGGAACCCTAGAATGCCACTATCGACGTTGGTAGGTGCATCAAACAACCATCATCCTTTGAAAGGTCGGCTTAGTGATCTGTCTGACGCTCTAACGGCAGCCCGAGATAATCTTCAGGCAGCTAGATTAGAGAACAAAAGACGTTTCGACGCTAAGGCGAACGCCAACAAAATTGAGGTAGGTGATTCAGTTATTATTTTCGCACCTGATAACGTGACTTTTGGATCAAAGTGGGACCCAGTCTGGACAGTGACCAGACAAAGAGGTAACGTCTTCTGGGTAAGTCATCAGCAAACAGGTAAGTCGCGTGTAGTGAACAGGGACAAATTAAGACTTGTGGACAGAGGGTTAGCCTGGGATGAGATCAGACCACGTGCGCGTCGAGTTTTCAGGAGACGACCCAAGCCAGTAAGAGCTGAGTTGCAACTTGGTACCACACCAGTCAACGTCAACGCTCAAAGGGCCGAGGTCAACGAGCGCGCAGCGGTAAGTAGTTCCAACGGGCGTAGCCAGGTAGCGGAGAGGATCGAATCCGAGATGCCGGTAAGTGTTGGAGGTGAGTCACAGACAGCTTCACGCAGGCCAACATTACATGCAAAACGCAAGCATAACACCATAACACGACACCACACGCCCACGCACTCACATAATACAAGGTTTAGGAAAAGATGTATCCAAGCCACGGAACAGGAAGATGCGCTGTTGTCGCAGATTGAAGGGGGCGAACTAGACGGTCCCCAGCCCGTCAAGGCGTCAAGGATAACCGACAGTGGGTCGGGAGAGAATATGGAAGTTGACTCCATGCATGGATAGGAGCATGGGTAAGTAAAATGGCGGTTTTAAGCATATTGCGTGGTATTTTAGCCCCAGGGTGAAATGGGGGTGGCAGCAGCTACCTGATGGCGTCCTAGTGACCCAGAGGCAGCTCTTTGGCGGTGACAAAGGCCGTATGGACGGTAGAAGTCACCAGGGAGAAACCGCTGGTAGTCTCTAAGAGGAGACTGGTAGTCTCAGGGTAGACTATGAATACGGATCGCCGTAGTAACACGGGATTACGTAGAACAGACTGAGGGAGGTGTACATAACCTCAGTGGACAGGGGACAAGGGCGAAAGGGATAGAAGTTGGCTTTAACCTTTTCTGCAGGTAAAATGACTCTCAAACGGCTGTACCAGCCTTGGCCAGGGCGGGTACCGTCGGTTCGAGCGAAGGTGCACATTCGTCTCGGACAAAACTA